ATAAATTCTGGAAGCATAGGGGTTATTTTCCTTTTGGGCTGGGTCATGATTTGAGTGATTTTTCATTGGTTAAGTTCCATTATTATCCGGGTGACACCTCTTGCAATAATAACCTTGCTTTGCTCCCCATCTTGTCATATTTATCTTTCGTGACCAGCTGCCATTCACCCTCTGACCCTGTGATAGTAGCTAGTCTGCCCTGACCTTTGCAGCTGGGAAACCTGAAGGGGCTAATGAGCTCCCAGTTCACACCTATCCTAATTAGCTATCTTTAACAGCTGTAGGAAACAGTCAGTTCTTTGTGATCTTTCTATTATAAAAATTGAGAGAAAGTTAATCTAAACTGGAAGGGGAAAAAAGTGCACTTTGAAAATCCAAGGAGCTTCCTTACTCAAGCTGAAATCTTATTTTAACACTTCCAAAGACTCCCACTGTGACTCCCAATACTTACTCTGGGGCTGATGATGTTGGTTTAAAGATTCAAGTGCATAGTCAGCATGCTGTACCTAAAAAGTGCTAGGAAGTGAGGATCATGAGACCCTATGAGCCATGGCTAGCAAATAAGATGCATTACACATTTTAATATAAAACATTTGAGTCACCCAGATACCTGATTTCCCTGAATCCTCCATTCAGTACTCTCTAGGGATACACTTGAAATCACATCTTCTTATTCAGTAACAAAAATCCCATAAAACAGTGTTTATTTGACTTTAGTGAGCATTAAGATTACATAGAGAGGTAACCTCAAGCCCAGCCTGAGATTCTTGTTCTGATGGCAGGGGTCGGACCTAAGAATCTGCATTTTAAATAAATATGGACCAAGTTTATCCTGATTTCTGGCCTTAAAAGTTTCAGTCAGAGGATCAGGAAAAATAACTAATGGGTACTAGGCTTAATAACTGGCTGATGAAATTATCGGTACAATAGACCGCCATGACATGTTTACCTATGTAACAAACCTGTGCTTGTAACCCTGAACTTAGAATAAAAGTTTATACATACATACATATATATATATTTACAAGCCAGACTTTTTAAATTGATACATAAGACTTATGCATGTTTATGGGATACATGTGAAATTTTGTTACATGCATAGAATTGTAATGATCAAGTCAGGGTATTTAGGGTATCCATTACCACACTATTAGTTATTTATATGTGTTGGGAACATTTTGAGTCTTCTTTTCTAGCTATTTTGAAATATATAATGCATTGTTGTTAACTATGGTCACCCTACTCTCCTATTGAACATTAGAACTTATTACTTCTAACTCTCTATCTATCTGTACATTTGTACCCATGAACCAACTTCTCATCATCTCCCTACCACATACACATACTCTTCCCACACAAGCCAGATTTTGACTGTAGAATTTTTCTAGGCAGTTGGATTTTCTGAGTGGTAAAGTGGAAGGCACTTTAGACTCAGAATAATGGACTTATGTTTAAGTCTGGTATCCCTACTATAGAATGCACTGATATATATATAGTCTTATTTGGTGAATGATAAAGAAACATGACAATTAAAAAAAGTTCCAATGTCTAAAAGTTGAAACTGGGAACTGTGATAAGACCTAAAGCTTCATCATTATTTAATATATCATTATCAAAAGGTCACAGAAATGCAAATGGAGCATCTGAGATGAATGAGACAGGTTAATCCAGCCCATATGCCTATGGCTGTTGAAGCTTTGATCACATTTTTCAAGTGGCCCTTTTATATCCAAACTGCTTCCAATGTAAAAATTATCCCAAGGACTAAAAAGGCCAACTAACTCATTGAACACCTAATTTGCCTAGCACTGTTCTAGTTATTACCGGAAAGTCAAAAGTAGAGGAAGATACTGTCCCTGTCCTCAAGAAAGTAGAAGAGGACATGAAATCTGAAAAGAACGCTGAAATGCTAAATTGGCTCCTGATGTTAAGAAGAAAGAGATCCATGCAGGTTGCAGTGTCTGGAGAAGGCTTTATAGCAGGAGGTTGGAGTTACACTGAAATTTGACTCGGAAATATTTGAATTGAATTGGGAAAAAGAAGAAAGAGCAGAATATTATGTGAATTATGTCAGATCTGGAATGAACACACATGTCAGAAGTCTAAGCCAAATGCATCAGATTCCACTAGCTTCTTGGGTGTCTACATGGGTATAAGGTCTCACTTAGCTTTAGAAGTGAAGATGTAATTGGAGGTGAAAAATGCACCAAAATTACAACCTACAGAGTGAATTCTGGAGAGAAAAACAAGTAGACGGTGGGGATGAGGACTGAACCGAGATAGCCCGAGTTCCATGCTTGGATCTGCTGCGGCCTGCTGCACCGCACTGAATCATACATTTAACTTCTCTGTGCCCTGGCCTCCCTTCTCCTTCTCCTCCAAGATGGGGCCAATATTGCTTACTTCATAAGGAGTTCTGAGTACATGACAGAGGCACCTTCAAATAGCTGAGAACTAACCCATGAAAAGGAAGTTTGAGAATTTACAAAAGCCAATTTACGAAAGTAAACGCTGAGAGTAACAAGTCAGCAGAGGGACTTGTTAACAAGTCTGCTGCAGCTGCAGAGCCTGAGGCAGCCTACGGGCTGGGATTAGAGGAGAAAGCCAAGGGCCCCACTCCCTGGAATGAGCTACCTGAGAGAGAGGGACCAAGCCCCAGGTATGAGCAGGGGAGCACAAAAACAATACTAATTCATTCTTCCTGATCTTTCCTTCCTGAACTTGAATCTTGGGAGAGACAGAGTGACCCAACCCAACCAGCAGTGTGGATAATGAGGAAGACCTGTCTCACCCACCTGAATAAAGTCCCAACAGAAAGAACTGGGAGAATAGCCAGGCTCTCCAAGAAGGGGATAGAGTTAAGTCCACATGAGTGGGAGTGGAGTAGAGCTTTCTGCACCTCAGCACAGAGGAAACTAAGTGTGGGGTCTGAACCACGCCTTAAGATAAATATGGCCTGGGGACTGACCAATCAGACTGGCAGCTAAGGAGGTTCATCTAAAGGAAGACTGGGGTGGGTGTAGTGGCTCACAATTGTAATCCCAGCACTTTGAGAGGTGGATGTGGAAAGATTACTTGAAGTCAGGAATTTGAGACCAGCCTGCCCAACACAGTGAGACCCTGTCTCTGCAAATTAAAAAATTAGCCAGGTATGGTGGCACCACCTGTAGTCCCAGGTACTTGGGAGGCTGAGGCAGGGGGATCACTTGAGCTCAGTAAATTAAGGTTGCAGTGAGCTATGATCAGGTCTGAGTGACAGAGTGAGATCCTGTCAAGGAAGGAAGGAAGGAAGGAGGGAAGGAGGGAGGAAGAAGGAAGGAAGGAAGGAAGGAAGGAAGGAAGGAAGGAAGGAAGGAAGGAAGGAAGGAGGGGAGAGAAGGGAGAAAGAGAGAAAGGGAGAAAGAGAGAAAGAAAGACTGGTCTCAGAAGCATTCTCTCCAACACTCCGTTGAGAAAAGAGAGGAGACAAAAGTCCATTCCTCTATGGGCTGAGGTCAATATGCAAGAAAACGGGAAGGAAGAAGAGAGAATAGAGGATTTTCCTTCTAATGAAAGTGGGTGATTTTTTTTAATGTCAGTTTGTGATTCCCTTGATTATGACAAGTTTCTTCTATTCAAACCTCAACAGGGCCCCAGTACTCATTGCTACGGCCATGTGACATCTCCACTCACCTTTGCCATCACGGCAGCAGCCTGGGTAGTGAGGCTGACCATCTGGAGGCCTCTGGCACTGACTCCATCAGCAACCAAGGGCTGAACACTGGGGTGTCCGAGGGAAGCAGAAGAGACTGGTTTTCAGGTCTTTCCATCTCTGTCTCTAGCTAGCACTTAGCATACGGATGTATATTAGGTCATCAGTGAACATGATCTGAATAAATGTAAGACCAAGGAAAGGGAATTATTTCTCTCTCTGCAAAGTAGATTGCTACAGAAGGAAGGCTGTGTCATCTGCAGGCACAGGGAATATTGTCCTCACAGAACTGCCGTCTGTGTAGCTGACAGTTGGGTCTATAGTTAAAATAACCTGGGAATGGCAGCTTCTTATGACCCGACCTCACGCAGTGGATAAGAGGTGTGTCTTTTATCCACTGTGTCAACAGCATATTCATGAGTCTGGGGGTGGTGGCAAGAATAGAATCCCAACCCTAAATCCCACCCATTAGTTGAAGCCTTTTCCAATCTAGAGTTCAGTGAACTTTGAACTCCTAATTGTCGCCTGTCCTGTTCACTTAGTTCCATTTTACTTATGACCTAATTGGTATTAATAGCTTCTATTCATATTTGTTTTTCATATTTCTGTATTTCCTCTCTCCAACTCTCTTTAGTTAATAGTTCTTGGTATCTTTTACAATGCATAATACATGGAAAGCATTTAATATATATTGATTAAATGATAATAATGCAGCCTTCATTAAGTGCTTATTAAATGCCAGACCCCATAAAAATACATTTATTATATTATTTCTCAAAACAAGGTGAGTGCTATGATCCCCACTTTACAGATAAGGAAACTGGGAGTGAAAGAAGAAACATCTGAAATCATACAGTCAGTGGGGGTGAAGCTAAGATTTGGCCCCACTCCGGTCTAACCCCAGAGCTCATACTCCTTGCCTCTCTGCCATGAGTGGATGGAAGGAAGGATTTCTTCTTCAAGATATTCTTACACAGCTTTCTCCAAGTACAAGGCTGAAGTCAGTTCTTCCAGTTCCATAAGTCACAAAGAGATGCCCACAAATTTGTGACTGGGAGCCCACACTGAGCAGCAATTACTGATGTATCCTCTGGGCTTATTTTTTTACATAAATGTAATCCAGCACCCAGATCACTCACAAATCAGCCTGAGCCACAGTAACCCACAGGAGCATGGCTTCTCATTTCCCAACCTAGCAGTCAAGGAAAACTATTTTTAAAGTCCCAAATCTTTATAATCAACTGAACTATTACCTGACACAAACTGTGAAGCAAAGTATTGTTAGAAAAAAGAAACAAAAAATATATACCTTATGCTGTTGGGTTAATGGATGCTTCTGAGTTCAAAAGAGCTGTGGTTTCATCTCCCTTCCACATCTAATTTTAGCTGTTTCCTGCCCTTTGATTTACTTGGCCAATGGCTCCCAGAGTTAATTGGCTGGGAGGCTGAGATGCCAGAGACTGAAGTAGCTGTCGCCCACAGCTCTTCTGCGGGAGCAAGCACACAGTCTTAGGATCAGTCCCTCCGGTGGGCAGGGAGGTCCAGCTCAGGACTTTTTTTCACAAGGGTCATAAAGGCCAGGTGGGGAATGGCAGTGTCCGGTGGAGGGAGGGAGCTGCCACACTGCCCAGTCACTCACGTGGCAGCAGCAGGGAGGAGATCAACAGCACCCTTGGCCACCGAGGTGTGCCTCTGTCACAAACAGTAAGGCAAGAGGTTCTGAGGACTGAATTCAGCCTCTTTTTCACTGTGGAGGCCATATCTTGGTGAAGCGAGGACCTGCTTCTACACTAAAATAAACATTTGTACAGGGGCTCATTTTTGCTACATACTCACCTGGTTTAAAATGAATCAGGCCCTAAGCTGTGTGTAATAATCAGCAGTTCACAGAGAAATTCACAAACGGAGTCTCAGCAAAATCAAATTAGCTCAGCATACGCAATATATAAGGCTAGAAACATCCATGCAGATACATCTCGGTCTAAAAATAAAGCTATTTCTTTTTGAACAAGCTAATGGGGCGAATTATTTTGGTTTTCTGAGAAATTATCTTTTAAAGAGCAAAATTTTTATCTGTATGCTAGAATATAATGGACTTAACCAGTGTGGGCCTGATGACTCATTCATCCAGGCCAGGCAGATAGAAGACAATTTTACTTTATAGGAATCAAGTTCTGATTTACAGAAAAATTCAATTGTGATTTCATCACAAAGCAAAACCTAATTAAAGAACTCTTATTATCTATTTGCATGCATAGAGCTGAGCTCAGTGCCAAGCTAGCAGTGTTTTGTCTTTGGATGTAGCTTTTGGCAGGGCTCATGCCATTACAGCGCCTTTCATTTTAGAATTCAACAAGGTGACTCAACTTTTCATTAATTATGGGACAGTTGCTATTTATCATGATAGGAAGCCAGTATCAAAACCTTCATTTTTCAAATAAGAAACTGAAAACACAGTCAAGTTCAAAGACATGGCCAAAGTTATCTACAAAGAATTGCTCTCTGGAAACACTAGTCTCTCAGTTTCCCAAACTCCTCTATGTCCAGAATGTTCTTTGCACCCTCCCTCCCCACCTCCTACCCCCAAGCACCTTTTTACCTGGTTAACTCATTCATTCTTCAGATCTCAATGTAAACAACCCTTTCCTTATTGTATGTTTCATACAGCTGTGTACCTATTTTTTATAACACTTACCATAATTTGAAACAATATGTTTATTTTTGTTTATTCAATGAACATCCATCTCCCCGACTGACTATAAACTCTACCAGGGCTGGGACTGGATCTGCTCTTGTCCATCACTGCATCTCAAATGCCCAGCACAGCACCTGGCTCATAATAGGCTCACAATAAGTATGCGTTGAATGAATGAATGGATTTGTTTTCTGCATAGCATACAATTTTACATGGCAGACCTACATATTTAAAGGCTATTGTAGTACTAACCAAAAAGTTATGCACGGTTTTCTAACCTTGATGCAGAAGTGAAAATAATGATTTCAAAGATAAAAGCCAGTGTTGCCTCTCTCACCAACGCCTACTTACTGCTTGCCACCTTGTCACCACTGCCATGAAAGAATCCTTTGTTAAAGGGAAAAGATCACTCTTTCTCCCAACATTTGCACATGGTGTTTATACACATCTAATAACACTGTTAATATCAAGCCATAAAAATTAACTGGCTAAGTTTCCAGTTCTTCAGTGATAGCTACACTCATAATCTTTACTCACAGAGCATCTGAGCTAAACCAAGATGTGCCAGAATCCCCCAGGTAGCTTTTCAAATAAGACAGCATCTCTAAGATTGCATTGTGCCTCAAGAATATTAAGTGTGCCCTCACATTGCAGTTTTCAATTACTTCAACATCCAAAGATCTCTAATAACAATACACGTCAGGCAAGTAAACAAGGTCTCTAAAGAACATTCCTATGAAGAATTTGCAATACAGGAGCAATATGGAAAGCAGTACAAGCTTCTGCCTCACCCTTTCTTTGATGCAGACTTTCCGATGCCAAATTCAATATTGGAAAGCAAATGAAATTGTCTTAGGCCCTCTCTTACCTCTTGCAGTAACTGTCCCCACCCCCTTACCTTTGCAGATTCTCTGTATATTCTGTTCCTCGCCCAACTCAGTGCTCAGTCCCCCACCCCCATGGCTCAAAATCCTGCCCACTCCATTCACCCTCCCACTGAGTCCCCCGCCACCAGCCACTAACAAAAGCCTTGCTCTCTACATCAATGTCCATGTGTATTTTAATTAGAGGCTATATCACCCCCAAAGAGTGATTTTGCTAATGGTGAAATATCAGGCATCAGTTTTGAGATGTAATGTATCCCAAAATTAGAGCAAATGGTGACCTAATCTTCTTACACATAAGACAATTTCATCCATTTATCACAGAGAAAATTCTTTCTGGCATAACAAAGAACCCAAGTGGCTGGGATTACATCATTGTTTTGTTTCTGCAATTCCCAAGACTCTTTTTACAGCTGTAGATACCCTGAGAAGACCTACCAAAACAACAACAAAAATCATGCCTGTGTCCTCAGCAACCCTCTCCATTAATGCCAGTATTTATCAGCTCAATCTATTCAACAGCAAAGTGGGGCTTTGTATTTTTACCATCTTAACATACCTCTGAGCTGAAAGGGTACAACACAACAAAGCAAATTTAGCCAATTCAGTATCTAACTAGAATTAGCAATCAGCATTTTGCTCTTCGGAAAATCAGAAGTCGTTGCTGTTACTTTGCCTTGGTGTGGTTCTTAATCTACTTCTGACATCTTTGAAGGTGAAGTCCATTTCACACAACAGGGAACAGGGTTCACACAAGATTAGACAAAAATTTCCTCTCTGAGCCTGCCAGGGTGGCTGGACAGTTAGTCTTAAATGTCTCAGTGAAAGGGGCTTCAAGAGAGCCCCTCACCCTACCTCCTCCTCACTGTCGGCTCCCAGTCCAGACCCACATCTGCAGCAACCTCCTAGCTGGTGCCCTGCCACCAAGCTAAGAACTCCCACATCAGTGCTCAGTAATGACTAGCACAATCCATCTAAACACAAAGCCGGCAAAGGGGCCAGCACACTAGAATGTCTGAGTAAATGTCTACTCACTGATTAAGTGAAAATATGCATGGATAAAATCTTACACCAAACACTCGGAGCTTTCTTAATGTGGGGAGAAATTTCGTTTCATTTTTCACATCTCTGTTGAACTGGTCCCAGCAAAAGGGGTGACATTTTGAATTAGATGTTCATAACGACTGCATCATGTTTTAATTACCCTCCAAACAAACATCCCTCCAGGGCAGGGTGAGGTTCAGAGAAGGTATGTGGGCTGGAGCACGGTTAGGCATGAAATAGGCAATGCATTCTTATGATTCAAACATAATTTTAAAAAACCAAAAATGTCTCCAGTGAAAAGTCTTCTCACTTCTGTCTTCTATCCAATTGATTTTCTATTCAGGTAACTGCTATTCTTATTTTCCTATGAATTCTTAGAGTTTCTTTATATAAATGTCAAGAATATGCATTAACCCTCCACTACCTTTTTAAATAAAAAGTAGCATATTATGTATACTGTCCTGCACATTCTTTTTCATGGTGGTGTAATATTTTGTTGTGTAAATATACTATGATTAATCAGTCTCTATTATAAGTTTTTGTGTTGCTTCCAATCTTTTATTATTTCAAATGATGCTACAACGAATAAGGACATATAAATTCATTCTATACCTATGCAAATATATCTGAAGGATGAATTTACAGAAGTGGAATTGCTCTGTCCCTTTTTAAGCTACAGTCTTAATGATTTGCTTTTAGTGGGCATCAAAACATTCCTGGGTCAAGATCTTTGCATCAAAACAACCATATCAATGTTGATGCCGGAAAGGAAACCCATTTTAACAGCATTGGTCAGTGTTGGAAAAAATGTTGGTTAACTTTCAACTGCGACCAACCCTCCTTAAATGTGTGGACATTTATTGGGTTTTGGCCATCCAGAATTAAAACCCTTAAAAATGGTGCCTGCCTGTAGTCCCAGCTACTTGGTAGGCTGAGGCAGGAGAATTGCTTGAACCCAGGAGGTGGAGATTGCATTGAGCTGAGATCGCACCACTGCACTACAGCCTGAGCGACAGTGTGAGGCTCCGTCTCAAAAGGCTAGAAACCATCATTCTCAGCAAACTGACACAACAGAAAACTGAACACTGCATGTTCTCACTCATAAGTGGGTGTTGAACAATGAGAACACATGGACACAGGGAGGGGAACATCAAATACTCGGGCCTGTTGTGGGGTGGGGGTCTAGGGGAGGATAGCAGCGGGTAGGGGGATTGGGGAGGGCTAACATTAGGAGAAATATGTAATATAGGTGACGGGGGGGATGGATGCAGCAAACCACCATGGCATGTGTATTCTTATGTAACAATCCTGCACGACCTGCCCATGTACCCCAGAACTTAAAGTATAATAATTTTTAAAAACTCTTCAAAATGGCCTGCATACCAAACTTTAAACATTGCATCTCCTGTTTACATTTCTCAGAAATAGAGATGACCTTAGGCAAAAATCTACACTGAATCACAGCAAGTGCTTAATGGTTCCTTTGGATAGTCAAGAGACTTGGCAGGAGCCATATAGGAGAGTGATTTTAAAAAGGATGATTTTAAGTGGGTTCACGTGTGTTAGAACTGCAACGAAAAGTAAAATACTGAATTCAACCTTCACAACAGTGGTGTCCTCTTGATGGGAAGTGTGGTAAGCAAGCCAGGAGCTTCAAAGGCACTGGTAATGTTTTATTTTTTTAAGCTGGGTGGTGGAAACATGGGTGTTAACTTTATTAATATCATTTATGCCATCTATATACTGCATAATATGTGTGTATGTATATTCATAACTTTTAAGAATATAAATGT